CCTTCACACCCCCCAGCCCCCTCACACTCCCACACCCCCCTCACTCTCCCCCTCACATCGTCACCCACACCCCTCTACACCCTCAGTCTCCCTCTGGCTCACCTCCTTCCCTGCATCCATCCCACTTCAACCTGTCAACCCACAAGACAAATTCACCTTCTTCAACCTGCACATGAACAACTTCAGGCACCCTCTGATTAACTTTTCACACCGACCCTGAGTGAGGAGATCATCGGGTTTTGTAATGGTCCAGACATCATCCTTCCTTCTTCATGCCACACAGAGGGCAGTAACAGGTTGGACACTGTTTGTGGTCCATCTCCAATGGGCCTTGGGAATATGGAGTGACCCTCCACCTTGACCAGCTAAAAGGGTCAGTGCTGAGGGAGCACCACACTGTCGGCGGGTCAGCACTGAGGGAGTGCCGCCCTGTCGGAGGGTCAGCGCTGAGGGAGTGGGCACTGTCGGAGGGTCAGTGCTGAGGGAGCACCACACTGTCGGAGGGTCAGTGCTGAGGGAGCACCACGTTGTCAGAGGGTCAGTGCTGAGGGAGTGGGCACTGTCGGAGGGTCAGCGCTGAGGGAGCACCACACTGTTGGAGGGTCAGCGCTGAGGGAGTGCCGCACTGTTGGAGGGTCAGTGCTGAGGGAGTGGGCACTGTCGGAGGGTCAGCGCTGAGGGAGCGCCGCACTGTCAGAGGGTCAGTGCTGATGGAGTGCCACACTGTCGGAGGGTCAGCGCTGAGGGAGCATTGCACCATCAGAGGCTCAGTGTTTAGGGAGCGGACACCATTGGAGATAGTCAGTGATAAGGGAGCGCTGCACTGTTGGAGGGTCAGTACTGAGGGAGTGCAGCACTGTCGGAGGGTCAGTGCTGAGGGAGTGGGCACTGTCGGAGGGTCAGTGCTGAGGGAGTGGGCACTGTTGGAGGGTCAGTTGCTGAGGGAATACCACACATGGATTATGGATAGGTAGAGTGAGTGAGGAAAATAGGATATAATGTGGGAAAATGTGAAGTGGTTCCCTTTGTCAGGAAGGATTTTTTTAAAAAGCAGCATGTTATTTAAATGTAGAACATCTGCAGAATTCCGAGCGCAGAGAAATTAAGTGCTCTGGCGCATGACTCAAACTTTAGTGTGCAGGTACAATATGTAATCAGGAAGGCTAATGGGATTCCAGTCTTTATTATAAGAGGACTTAAATTTTAAAGTCAGAAAGTTACGCTTCAGTTATACAGGGCTTTGTCTGGCTGCAGCTTGAATACTGTGTCTACTTTTGGTTTCCTCATTGGAGTAAGTTTGTAGATGTGTTGGAAGCAGTTCAAGGGAGGTTTACCAGCTTGATAAGTAGAACGGGTGGTTTGTCTCATGAGTAAAGTTTGCGAAAGCTGGTGTCTCTCAAGGTCAGAAGTACATGGTAAGATTTGATTGAAGTTTATAAGATCCTGAATGGTCCTGACAGGGTGGAGGTGGAAAGGATGCTTCCTCTTGTTGGAGAGTCCAGAACTAGGCAACAGGATTTTAAAATTACAGGTCAATCTTTTACAACAGAAGTTCTTTTTCTTTAGAATCCCTATGGTGTAGAAGCAGGCCATTCAGCCCATGAAGTCTGAACACCATTCCAGTAGGACCTTCCCATAACCCTATCCCTGCATTTACCATGGCTAATCCACCCAGCCTGCACATCCCTGGATACTATGGGCAATTTAGCATGGCCTATCCACTGCAACCTGGGCATCGTTATACTGTGGGAGGAAACCAGAGCACCCAGAGGAAACCCACGCAGACACAAGCAGAATGTGCAAACTCCACACAGTCAGTCACCTGAGGCTGGAACTGAACCCAGGTCGCTGGCACTGTGAGGCAGCAGTGCTAACCACTGAGCCACCGTGTCATACAATTTTGGATCGCTCTACCTCAGAGGTGGGGATCATTGAATATTTCTAAGGCAGAGATAGATAAGTTCTCTTTAGGTAGGTGAATCGGGGGTAATTGGGGATGAACAGGAACATGGAATTCAAATAACAAATAGATCAGCTGTCATCTTATTGAATGGGGTCAGTAGGCTTGAAGGGCCAAATGGCCTACTTCTCCTAATTTGAATGTTCCCTTGGATCCCATTGGAATTCAGTGTTGATAAATGTGAAGTCACGCATTTTGGTAGGAATAATGGTAAAGAGCACTATTATTTAAATGGTAAAAAATTGCAGCATGCTGCTGTGCAGAGGGACCTGAGTGTCCTTGTGCATGAATCACAAAAAGTTGGTTTGCAGCTGCAGCAGGTAATTGAGGCAGCAAATGGAATATTGTCCTCCATTGCCAGAGGGATGGAGTTTAGAAGCAGGGAGGTTACGCTGCAGCTGTACAGGGTACTGGTGAGGCCACACCTGGAGTACTGTGTTAACAAGGTGTGGAGCTGGATGAACACAGCAGGCCAACAGCATCAGAGGAGCAAGAAAGCTGACGTTTCGGGTCTGGACCCTTCTTCAGAAATGGGGGAGGGGAAGGGATGCATTTTTTGGTTTCCTTACTTGAGAAAGGATGTACTGGCACTGGAGGGAGTTAAGAAGGTTGGCTTATGAGGAGAGGTTGAATAGACTGGGATTATATTCATTGGAATTTAGAAGAATAAGGGGGGATCTTATAGAAACATC